CCTGCGTATTCTCGCACTATTCAATCGAAAGGCAATTAAATATGGGCAGTTGTCATGCCCCAAATTTTCCCCATTGGTTTTTAATTAATTTATTCTTTATTATTATCAGTTTCTTTATAAAGTTTAGATTACTAGAGATAATTTCATTGCGGGGGTTTAAATCTTAAAAGAATGGGGGTGAGTTTTAATAAAGGTTTCATGGGTTTTCTAAATCTGAAAAGTCCGTATAATTTATTGTTAGGCCCATTAAGGACTGTTTTGATATGTTAAAAGTCAGGCTCATTAAGGTTTGTTAAAAGTCTGCTAATTATTGGAAAGGAGGGTGTATTACCTTAAATGGACCATCAAAATCTGATGGCCCATTAAGATAACTTGTTGGCCCAGTTCAAAGATAAAATGGGTTATGTTTTGGGACATCAAAATGTGATGGCCCATGAAAGGGTTGTTACATTTAACAAAGAGGGAGGGTGCATTTTTGAAAGGCCCAATAACTGGACAATGCTGACCTAGTCTATATTTTTTTGAGGGCCTATATTGTGTTTGTATACATTACTGTAATTTTATTTTACTAATACCTATTTTATTATTATTTTTGTTGTTTATTTTATTAAAGTTATATTTTAGTCTTTTGTTGACCCAAGTCAACGCAGGGGTTTAAGAAACCCTCATCAAACCCAAGGCCCAGAAAACGCACACTGTTCAGATCTGAAAAATGCTTTTTGAAACTAAAACAAAACAAAATCTTTAATGGATCAAATCAAATATGGAAAATAATTATTCATGTTTATTCACTGAAAGCGAACCTATACAATAAAAATTCCAAATACAGATTATAAAGAAACTAATCTCAAACGAAATCATCTAAAAACATAATCAAATCAATTACAACAAAATCAAATCGCCTAATTCCTAATAGATTACAAAAGTAATGACAATCATAAAACATTTTCCTAATCTATCTAAAAACCTAAGACTATAAATAGCCCTAATTCTAAGAGTAAATGGAGAAAAAATTTGGAGAGAAGAAACGATATCAGAAGTAAAATCCACATGTCAATTGCCTCCTTGAGATCTGGATTATAATTTCTGATACCTTAGGTATGTGATTCAAGCCATCGCGCACCATCATGTTTGCAAGCAAAGAAGGAGAGTAGGAATCAGAAAGAGGAAATCAAATTATGAGAAGAATCATTGCAAGGAAGGTAAGCCTCAAACTTAGATTTAATTGGTATCGTTGCTGGATTTGGGGACGATTGGTGTTTGATTTTGAATTTTTGGGATTTTTAGGGTTAGGTTAGGGTTAAGGTTCTATAGACTATGGTTAGGGTTCTTAAAAATAGGGTTAGGGTTCATCATTTGTTGAAGGTTTCTGGGTAAGACATGTTAGGGTTCTCAGGGTTTATAAACCCATATGAAGATTCACGACGGAGAGTTTGAAGGTCTGAAGTTTCTGGTTGAATATGAACCAGAAAATTGGAGAAAAGGGGTGGTTAGGGGTGGTTGATGAAGGACGGTGCGACCAGGGAGATTTCCGGCAGCCTGGATTTTAGAGAGAGGTAAGAGCCTATCTCTCTAGGTATTACAAAAGTGGGTTTTTGTTTCGTTGTAGAGAGAAAGAAAGGAAAAAAATGGGCTCTCAGCCCAGTGATCCATTTTTATAAACGTTCTCTGATTTAGTGTCTGCGCGCCTAAAAACCTTACGTACGCTCTCTGCCACAACCTTCAGATCATCATCAAACGTCCTTAAGTCGCATGCTCATGATAACATCGTGCCCCCCCCACGCTGCCTAAATGGACCTTATGTTATTTGGGCCTAAGCCATGATATTCACACCACCATTCTGCCTGTTTTTACTAAGCCAACTCAATTTTCACCCCCTAATGCTCTTGGGCCAAGTCTAATATCTGGACTTGGGTCTCTGCTAACTAAATCCCCATATTTTACTAACATATGCAATAACTTACCACCCCGCATTTGGGCCTGAATTCAACATCTGAATTCAGGGCCCTACTACCTATATCCCCATATTTTGCTAGCCCAACACAATATACACCCCCTGCATTTTTTTAATTTCTTTTATTATTTATAATTATTAATTTTTATATTTTATATTTTAATATATTTATAAATTCTAATATTATTATAAAATCAAATATATATTTTCTAACTCATCCAAATATTTATTTGTTGCATAAAAATTATTTTTAATCATGCATTAATAATATTTTTATATATTAATACATTTAAAAAAAATACTTAACCAACACAATTTTTTTTTACTAATGTAATTAAATCCAAGATTATTTTCAAAAAGGATTACGAAGATATTTTAATCGACTGTGAACTTCGTCTAACAACTCCATTATTCACACACCCAGACTAAGTACAAGGGTAATTCAAACATCTTCGCAATCCATAAAAAAACACCAACCAACAACGACTACGAATTAGAATTCTGATTCCTCATAAGAGGATACATATGCATACAACTAAAATCGCGGCGAGTTCCTCTAATAATAAACTAAAACCCTATTTCCTAAAGATTGTATTTCTAAACCATAGTATCCTTGTGAACAAGGTAGATGAGGGGTGCCTAACACCTTTCCTTCGTCTAAGAACGAATCAAACAACTTAGAATCTCTGACCACGTAGGGTTGTCCTTTATATTCCCTTCCATAGGATAAAAATTAAGGGTAACGACTCTCAATTTAAAACTAGTTACAATATATCCTCAACAAGAGAAACTTGAAAAATGCGAAAATATCAGGAGAACTAAATTTATAACTAGTCTTCCTAAATAAACAAATGAAAGAAAATAATTATGAAATTTAAAGCCCCATTTCCCGAGTCTATATACAATCAAGAACCTTTTAGAAAACTAGATTTATCAAAGAAGTTTGTGAGTGCAATAACAGAAGCGTAGAATCTAACTGAAGACGTAAGTGAAACAATAATAACAGAAGCATAGAATCTAACTGAAGATGTGAGTGAAACAACAATAACAGAAGCATAAAGTCCAAATAAATAATATCATAAAGGATAAAGAAAGTTAGGGAAAGTGTAACAATAATGAGATTATGTGAAGAATCATAATCAACCCTGACAATAAATGATTTTCCACTTTTGAAATTAATTTTTGTAGGATAAATGCTTGAGATATGATTTAGTCGATGGAATAAGCATACTAGGTTGTGTTAAGTTTAATGGGAGATGATTACTTATGATGACAAATTGTGGAAGAAGTATATGATGATAACTTTCATTACTCTACTCTTCTAAGTGTGAAGTTTCAAAGCTTAGCATTCTTGTATGTTCCTAGTAAACAGTTATCTATGAAGATGGAAAAGAAGAAGAGCTGCATATGTGTACAACTGTCAAGTAGATCGGTCCGGTTCGACCCGCTTCGTTTTGATAGGCCAAAATATTTAAATGGACAGACTTGGTTCAATCCGATTGCTTAATGGGCTACAGAAAATGAGCCTGACTCGTTTATCAAAGGCCCGTGCAGCCCGATGGGCAAATCCGACCCGTATTTCAATATTATAGTTTTAATTTTATAAAAAAAGATGTACTGAATAAAAGCCACATAACATAAGTAGAGAGTCATCATAAACTTAGTTAAGTGATGTTTAAAATATTCACCAAATCAACATCCATATATATATATATATATATATATATATATATATATATATATATATATATATATATATATATATATATATATATATATATATATATATATATATATATATATATATATATATATATATATATATATATATATATATATATATATATATGAATGTCACAAAAACATCCATGTAAAAGTACAAAATAACTTAATCTTATCACCAATATTTATTAAATTTTCTCTTCCTCTTCCAACCATTTCGTTGATCACATTATCTTGAAAATATATTTTCATTATCTTTAACACTTGAAAACACACTTATGCAATCATATTTTATTTTAATCTTATTTTTCTCAAAATTTACTAAAATATTTTTTTAATAAACCAACCCGAAACCTGCTTGATCCGACCCGATCCGACTCATGAAAAACATTAGACTCGATAGATTGAGTCAAAAAAATAGACTCTCATTTTTTTTAAAGATATCTTATAATCCGACTCGTATTAAGTTATTGAGCTCCCGTTTGAGAAAGTGTCATTTATTGTTTTGATAGTGCCACATCGATATTATTACAAGTACTATTAGTGTTTATAAAGTTAATATATATTTTTCTAATTGAATCTTGAATACTGGGTTGATATTGCATCGAAATGAGCTCCAAGTGAAAATATATTTTCAAAATTTCTAAAACTTTATTAAAGTTACTAATTATTAATTTATTAGATAAAATAATATTAATTAATTAATGATCCAACTCATCAATTTTAATAAATTTTAAAATAAGTAAAGTTAAGAATAAAAAAACTAAACAATTAAAAAAAATATAAATAAAAAAACCAAAAATATATTTAAATTTATTTATTTTTCGGATGTAAGATATATTTAATTAATTTGTTCAAAAGAAGATATATTTAATTAATTTGTTCAAAAGAAGATATATTTAATTAATATTTATTTATTTTAAATAAAACAATAGAGATAAAATCAAAATAACAATGATAAATATAAATTGTAGAAATTATTTGAAGTAACTTATGAAAAAAATACGTTATAAAGTAATAAAAATAAACTATAAAGTTGTGAGAAAGTTGACATTTATAAAACGGATTTGTCACAACTCCCAAGTATATGTAATAGACGAAAGAGAGAATTATGTAGTGACTTCCTATTGGTCCATTTAAAAGCGCACGGATCGCGGTTAAACAATTCACAGCCGTAGATAATTTCAATCCAACGTTCAGTATTTACTTAACGCTCATTCTCACAGCACCGAGAAACTCAATAAAACCACGCTAACATTTCATAGTTCATATCACTTTCCCTCTTCACAAATCAACAGTTCGTTTTTCTGAAAATCTCATCACCATGGACGCAAACACAAAGGTGAAGAAAGGAGCTGGTGGAAGGAAAGGAGGAGGACCAAGGAAGAAGTCAGTCACCAGATCCGTCAGAGCTGGACTTCAATTTCCCGTCGGAAGAATCGGTCGATTCTTGAAGAAAGGTAGATACGCTCAGCGTGTTGGTACCGGTGCTCCTGTTTACCTAGCCGCTGTTCTCGAGTATCTCGCTGCTGAGGTAAATCTCATTTTCCCTCTATTATCTTTAATTTCAATGAATCCGTGATTTTGATTTTGAGATCCTAATTTTTGAAATTTGGTGTTTGTTCAGGTTCTTGAGTTGGCTGGAAATGCAGCACGTGACAACAAGAAGAACAGGATCAGTCCAAGACATTTGTTATTGGCTATTAGGAATGATACAGAGCTCGGTAATTTGCTTGCTGGTGTCACAATTGCTCACGGTGGTGTTCTTCCTAACATCAACCCTGTGCTTTTGCCTAAGAGAAAGGAAAATGCTGAGGCCAGTACTCCCAAGTCTCCTTCCAAGGCCAGGAAATCTCCAAAGAAGGCTTAGAAAGATATATTAGGTTTTGTTGTGATGGTATAAATGACTAAGTGCCTCTAATGTACCAGAGAAATATTCGACTTATACCCTGCAATGTAATTTAATGAAAACGTTTTGTTTTCTGTTAATCCTTTTGTTTAAGATGTTAATTGTTTGCTGTTAAATATACTTCCACAAGGATATAAATGGTTTTTATGGCCGGACTAATAACTAATGTGAAAAGAATCCCTTCTTGAGCAATCATCCTGCCATCCCCTATCTCTCTTAGGAATTAATATTTTTTGATGCATAAAGGAGAGATGAAAAACTAAAGAAATATATAAAATGATGCTTATAAAATAAGGAGTAATGAATATATTAATTTACTTACCACTAGATTATTATACACAAATATTAGAGTATAGTAAAATAATTAAATATTCTCTAACAGATGTAATTAATCAGATATTATAAAAATATAAGTTATTTCTAACATCATCCCTTAATTTATATTTACACAAAATTCACAAACACCAATTTTATCTCTCAAACAAAGAAACTCATTAGTCTAGATACCCTTTGTTAGAACGTCCGTCAATTGCTTCTGGATGCTACAATGTACAACTTCTAATATTCTACTTTGAACCTAATTTCTTAGAAAGTGACACTTAGTCTCAATATGCTTGCTTATCTCATGCAACACTGGGTTCTTAACAAGATTGATTGTAGACTTGTTATCAATCATCAACTTCAGAGGCTTGTTTACCTCGATCTTCAGATCCTGCAGAAAGTTTAGAATCCACACAACTTGGCATGCAGTCAGAGCGCCTGCAACATATTCAGATTCACAAGTTGACATCGCAACATGTTGCTGCTTAGAACACTAAGAAATAAGACCTCTCAGAAATTTGAATAAGTACCCCAAAGTATTTCTTCTGTCAACTCTCTCCACACCAATCGTAGTCTGATACCTCAAATTCTGATTCGGTCTTTCTTCCAGAAGGAAATAACACTCCATACTTCAGAGTTCCTTTCACATACATCAGAATCCTGACAACAACTTAATAATGAGACCACTTTGGTTTACTCATAAATCTGCTAACCATTCCAACTGCATATAAAATATCAGGTATGGTATTACACAAATACCTCAGAGAACCAGCTAACTGTTTGAAGATTATAACATCCACATCCTCTTCATCAGAATTAGAGTCCAACTTCTGATTCGTATCAACAGGTGAGATACAAATTTTTCAATTCTCCAACTTAAATCTCTTCATAAGCTCAAATTCAACTTCATCTGATGCAAAATGATTCTTGTCTCAGAGTACATAAACTCCATCCCTAGAAAGTAGCTCATTTTTCCAAGATATGTCATCTCAAACTCATTCATCAGAACCTTCTTGAACTTAGCTATCTCTTGTTCGAAACTTTCTGTTAGCGACATGTCATCAACATACAAACATACCATAATTATATTGCCTTCTGAAGTATGCTGAACATAAACACCATACTCAATCTCACACTTTCGAAACCCTTATTCTTTGAAAACTGAATCAATCTTTAGATTCTAGACTCTGGACGCTTGCTTCAATCCATACAAGGCTTTGTGTAATCTGAACACCACCCCTTCTTGATTCTTTTTCTTAAATCCAGGAGGTTGTGACACGTATACCTCTTGTAATGGACCATTCAGATATGCTGATTTTACATCTAAATGCATCTGAGGGCAGTTCTTGTTAGCAACTATTACAATCACTAGTCTGATTGTTTCATGTCTCGCTACAAGTGAAAACACTTCAGAGTAATCCAACCCAGACTTATGTAGAAAACCTCTTGCTACTAATCTTGCTTTGTGTTTGCCAATTGACCCATCTGACTTTAGCTTCTACTTGAAAACCCATCTAACGCTTATGGCTTTCCTGCCTTTTGGAAGTTCTGTCAACTTCCAAGTCTTTTTTTTCTCTATAGCATCAAGTTCTTCTTTCATGGCCTGCAACCAGACTTGCTGCTTAAGATCCTCTTCCGTACTCACGAGTTCAGAGTCTACTAACATTTCACATTAAATAACTTCTCCTATAGAGTCTACTTCAATATCCTGCAACATGTCAAACTCTACAAATATTCTTGGGATGCTTCTGACTCTTTGTTGCCTCTGAACTTGAACTTCAGAATCTTGAAGACCAGAAATTTCCCCTTCAGAAGCTCTTGCTTTAGAAATTGGACTTTCTCCAGAACCGTGACCGTGTTCAGAGTCTGGAAAATTCCATGAGTTCAAATCACCATCAGAATCAGAGTCTGAATCATCGTCACCTTCTGAATCTACTTCAGAGTTAAATTCACCATCAGACTCGTCTTCAGAGTCAAAATCTTTACCAACTTCAGAAACATGTGTTTCTGACTTTTCTTCAGGAGTTCTCTCATCAGAGTTAGAACGAGATTCTTCCCAATTCCAGACTTCTGATTCTTTTACAACAACATCTCTGCTGAACTCAACTTTGTTAGTTTATGGACAATAAAGTTTGTACAAACCTGTACCGTGGTACCCCACCAGTAACATTACTTTACTTCTATCATCCAACTTCTGTCTTCTGGCTTCCGGGACATGTTTGTAACATACAAAATCAAACACCTTCAGATGACTAACACTTTGCTTTTCTCCAGTCCACTTCTAAATATGAACTATTTCCTTCAGCTTCTTTGTTGGACATCTGTTGAGCACATAATGCAGTGCCAACAACTTATCTCCACAAAGTACGAGGAAGCTTCTTCTCTTTCAGAATGCTTCTAACCATATCAAGCAAAGTACGATTTCTTATTTCAGCAAGACCATTGTGTTGAGGAGTATAGAAATCCGTAACCTCATGCTCAGTTCCATTATCCTCAAAGAACCTTTTGAACTCTATGGAGTTATATTCACCACCACCATCAATTCTAAGAATCTTCAGAGTCTGGCCACTATGATTCTCAACTTTTAGTCTGAACTTCTTGAATTCAGCAAACACCCTGTGTTTGAACTTTATGAGAGATACCCATATCATTCTAGTGAACTCATCAACAAATGACACAAAGTATTTATTCCCTCTAATCGATGCTATTGGAAATGGACCACACACATCAGAATGCACTACTCTTAAGGCATACTTTGCTCTTGGAGATACTTCTAAAGCGAATGACAATCTTGGTTGCTTCCCTTCCATGCACACCTTACATGACTTCTCGGGCTTCTTGATTGTAGGAATTCCATGTACCAGATTCTTCCATTTTTCAGATGCCCTAAGCTTCTGAAATTCAGATGACCAAATCTTCTGTGCGATAACTCACTCTCCTTGACAAGACTTGTTGCACTAAGACATTTAAAGTCTACAGTTCTAACATTCACCTTTAATGTTCTGTTCCTTCCATGTTCTGACTCCATAATCATCTTCTGATTACAACCATACAACTTCAGAAGATTGTCCTTCATGATAACTGAAAAACCTTTCTCAATCAGTTGTCCCACACTCATCAGATTGCTTTTCATGCCAAGTACATCCACACATTCTAGATCACTGCTGCTTTCCCATTGTTTAGAATGACTCTGACATTTCTCATACCTTATATATTGAGGTATTTATCATCAACACATCTGATCTTTATACTCTTTCCAGAGTCAAAATCAATCAACCATTTCTTGTTTCCAGTAAGATGGTTTGAACACCCTGTGCTCATATACCACCATTATGATGAATTCATATAATTAGAATCATAAGCCAACAATAGCACAAGTTTATCATCAGACTCTCCTCTGGATATATTTGCTTCTTCTGACTTACTTTCTTTGTTTGACCAGCAATCTTAGGCATAATGACCAAAGTTCTTACAATAGTAACACTGAACATTCTTCTTGTCAGACTTTTCCTTTTCCTTTTAGAAATTCTTCTGCCTATTTGAGGTTGAAGCTTCTGACCTCTGACCACCATTAGTTTTCTCTCTGGCTTCTGATCAAGTCTGCTTCTGATACTTCTTACCAAAAGTTTCTTTCAGAGTCTGCTACTCTACTTCTCTCTTAGAAGTTCTCTCAGTCATACGTAACTCATGCGCCTCTAGACTACTTTGCAGCTCTTCAACTCTCATGGTTCTCAGATATTTGAAATATTCAATTGCTATCACAATGTAATCAAACTGAGAAGTTAAAGATCTCAATACCTTCTCTATGATTACTTGCTCAGAAAGGGTTTCTCCACAAGCTTTCATCTCATTAGTGATCAGAATCACTCTAGAGATGTACTCAGAAACTTTCTCATTGTCCTTCATATTGAGATTCTCATATTGCTTTCTTAGGGACTGAAGCTTCACCTTCTTCACTGACGCTTCACCACCGTAACATCTGAGCAGTGTGTCCCACGCAGCCTTTGCTGTTTCAGAGTCAACAATCTTCTCAAAAACATTCGCATCCACATACTGATGGATGTAGAATAATGCTTTATGATCTTTCTTCCTTATCGCCTTCTGCGTTGTCTTCTGTGCCTCCGCCGCGTCTGCTGCTAATGAAACATACCCATCTATGACAAGATCTAACACATCTCGAGAACCAAACAACACACACATCTGGATCTTCCAACAATTTCAGTTTTTACCATCAAACACTGGAAGCTTGGAACTGATACCGCCGTTTCCGTTTATCTTCAACCTTGTCCAGTTAATTCAAAACTCACTAACACACAATGTTTCTCAAATCCTACAAAATCAGAAAAAATGTGATTCTCAATCACACAACACCTCACTGTTCACTCGTGTTTCCCGTAGATTTCAAATCGGAGCTTTAGATACCAATTGTTGGTGCACAAAGGAAAAATGAAAGACAAAAGAAATATATTAAATGATGGCTACAAAATAAAGGATAATGAATACATTGACATACCTACCACTAAGTTATTTATACACAAATATTAGAATATAATAAAATACTAAAATACTCTCTAACATTCTTAGTCAATAAGATATTATTAAAATATAAATTATTTCCTACAGTATTTCTATATGACCAA